AGGGGGGGGGAGGGGGGGAGGGAGGGGGGGGGGGGTGAGAGAGGATGGGGGTGAGAGAGGAAGCAGGAAACACATTAAAGAGGAGGAGACAAAAATGTTAACAAGGGAAAAAGAAACAGTGTTGAGTTCAGTGATGAACCTGTCTGTCAGTCTGTCTCTGTCTGTCTGTCTGTCCGTCTGTCCGTCCGTCTGTCCGTCTGTCTGTCTGTCCGTCTGTCTGTCTGTCTCTCTGACTGTCTGTCTCTCTGTCTGTCTCTGTCTGTCTCTCTGTCTGTCAGTCTGTCTCTCTGTCTGTCAGTCTGTCTCTCTGTCTGTCCGTCCGTCTGTCCGTCTGTCTGTCTGTCCGTCCGTCTGTCTCTCTCTCCCTCTCTCTCTCTCTGTCTCTCTCTCTGTCTCTCTCTCTCTCTCTCACTCTTTGTATCTGCCTCTTCATCTTCCTCCGTCTGTAATGCGGACTGCGACGTGTGTTGCCTCTCAGGGATCATGTTGTCACAGGCGCCCCCCACTGGGACATTAGATGAAGTGATGCACTTGTCTGTGCTTTTTATCCCTCTATTTAAGTTCCTCTTTACACCCTGCTCTCCATCTCCCAACACGGGGACGGGAGCTCAAAGATGTAGACACTCACACACACACACACACACACACACACACACACACACTCTACACACTTTTTCTTTTTTTCCTCCTCATTCTCACCCACGCTGAAGCAAAGCTGAATTCACAGAGAACAAAAGTGACGAAGGCTGTGGATTATGACTTTTTGTTTTTCTTCTTCTTATTAATGAACTCCAACAGCCTTTAAAGAAGTTTGATCTGAACCGTGACCAATCAAAACCAGCGCTGCAGAGTCTGTCACAAACCTTGATTTGAGGTTTTTTTTTTTTCACGTCTCCTCTTCAGGTTCAGGCTGCGACAGGTGAACATTGTTGGATCTAGCCCCGTGAGCACCCCCTCCAGGCTGATTCAGACTCTACAGGCAGCCCCTGACACTCCCCCGTTAAACCTCACCCTACTGTTGGCGACGCAGACCAGCCTACGCTTCAGCTGGATGGTATTAAACAGCACACACACACACACACACACACACACACACAGAGTCAAACTGGTGTCAAACGTCCATGTCAATGTCCTTCGTCCTGTGACTCTGCTTCAGACTGACAGGGATTTTCTTTATGTCTCTTTACTTTGCATCTCTGTGTGTATTTGCTCTCAGTGTGTGTGTGTGCATGTGTGCATGTGTGTGTGTGTGTGTGCTCCGTGCCCACCAGCAGCAGGACTGAACAGCCTGACAGCCTGTAATCAGTGTCTCTCCTGGTTATCACTGCTAAAACTAATCTGTCACCTCCTCGTTCACCCCTGGACCAGCAGCACAAACTGCAATATAATTTTCTCCTCAGTGTCTTTTCTTTTTCTCACTCGTTCCTGCCCTCGCTCCCTCTCTCGCCCCCC